AATGAGACATTTGCAACGACAGCAACCAGCAGGCAAGCAGCAGCGACGTGGAAGTACCTGCAGCAGCAAGAATGGCATAAAGATATCTGTCAGTTAACATAGAGCGGGCATATTAAGGCAGACCTGTTTGGTTGTTGTAGGTGGCAAGGGGCTTATGTATGAATGCAGCATAAGTGCTCAGTTTACTGCCTGAACTATGAACTAGCTCGCAGCTCCACCCCATTACTGGTTGTCAATTTCTTTTGATCTGGTTGCTAAACTCCTTGTAACACATAATCACTGATGTTCCGACCTGTAACGGTGGTGGACTCATCAGAACAGAGGTGGCGAGCGCACCAATCAGATCACAGTGGACACAGGGAGGGGGCTGGGGTGGGGGGTGGGGGGGGGGCAGTAGCTCCAACAAGCCGTTTAGGACAGAGAGTGAATACACATATACAGAGATGCTGTATGAGAAACCAATGTGAGTTTGGAAAATTGCACAATATGAATATATTCTAGTAGACCTCAACAATGGAATTATGATCAGTAGAAATGGCCATGACATGGGACCTTTAAGATGGTGTGACGTTGAAGTTGTGTGACCCTGCTGTACTCGGCTGTAGTTCCTTTATAGCATAACGTTAGCATTTTGCTTCTGGCGATTAGATTTATGATTAGTAAATTATAAAAGTAGGGGAGACATGTGGATATTATCCGGCTGAACAAAACGTGCATTTATCAAACAGGTTAGTTTTCCAAATACCTTATTTCGAGCTATTTTCCAAAATCCTATGGGGAAATCCCATTGCTTTTTTGTTGAGGGAACCCATGTGCAGCTTACTTCCGGGTAAATACGTCATGCCTGCACCACTCTATTGACAATAACAGCTTACTGGGCCCTCTAGGAGGTAGACCAGGGCAATGCCACCTTAAATGTATGATCCAGATAATGCCATTGAATCAGCTGATAACATTTGGATCCGGTAAATCATCTGGGCAAATCCAAGACTATAAAAATTATAATTGTAAATAAGCAAACTGATCTTTTAATAACTAGAAAATGTATGAACAGTGAAACAGACCCTTTTTAGGTAGCATAGTTTTGTCTATATTATTGCAGAAAGTCTCTTCCATAAATTGTAAGATCTGGCAATGTTCTCTGTCTTTCTTCTTCTGGTTTCTGTGCCAGATATGTTACAGATATATTACTTTTTTGGCACTTCAGGTAACCTTGACCTACAAGGATGCTTTTAAAAAGGTGAGCTAGTGCCAAAACGTTGATTACGATGACAAATGCATATACGACATCGAGCAATAACGTGTGTGTATGTGTTTGAGTCTGTGTGTGTGTGTGTGTGTGTGTGTGTGTGTGTGTGTGTGTGTGTGTGTGTGTGTGTGTGTGTGTGTGTGTGTGTGTGTGTGTGTGTGTGTGTGTGTGTGTGTGTGTGTGTGTGTGTGTGTGTGTGTGTGTGTGTGTGTGTGTGTGTGTATAACTGAGTCTGGTGGGAGGTGATAAGACCTTTAATAATGAGCTGGTTCGTTCTGTCATCAGTCAACACACTGTCACTGTCTGGGCCATATTCAATCATTAATACATTTTTAGACACATAGACACTCAGGAATAGAAAGAGAGAGAGTAAATGAACATTGAAAATGATTTGCAAGGTCTAGACAGTGACAAAGTTTATCTCTCCTCACACATGCACACACTTCCTGTCAGTAGCGAGGTTATACTCACTCATTAAAGTGTACATTTACATGCCACCCTCATCATGTGCGCACATACACACACCGACCCTTGATCATCCTCTGTGAATTTCCTAAATTAAATATCACTTCATTTCCCGGATGGAGAGCTTGTCATTGGATGAATTATTGGAAACATCTTTCACTGTCTCCCACACCTTTCAATATATTTAATTTTATCTTTCAAGTAACAAAATGATACAAGGTCTAAGTGCTCACTCTCGGGGAAATAGTGTAGCAATCTGCTGCACTTTGTGTCTTTAACGAAACTAACATTATTTCAATAACCTCTTCCTGAAGTTGAGTTGACACATTTGTATTGTTTCCAGTGACTGCCTGAAAAAAGCCCCTTGGCAAATTTGAAGATAACAACAGAATCCATATTCCTTCAGTCGGACGCACAGCAACCTAATGAGGATAGAAGGTGCTGCCAGAAATCAGGAAGGTATATCACCCCAACAAACACACGTGCAGGGCAACAACATCAGGGACACAACCAAAGACACACTCTTCCTGAACGATGGATTCTGTCCTCTTGACGGAGTATCAGCCATGCGGTGATGCATGGTGGGTAATTATCTAAAAAATGTTGTTCTAATGAGAAACATGTCTACGACAATCGTTCCATTAAATAATTTTGCTGGTTAATGTTGTATTCATCTGTCATCATGATGTACTTTCAGGAAATAACACACATGGACAATCACTAAGAAAAGAGAGACACAATGTGATGCCATGCATATTCATCATGGACATCTAATGGGGATGAAGATTTTTGTATGAATACTGAGGCCACATGGTCATAAATAGAAAACAAACAGCACTATATATTAAAATCTATGAATATCTTGACATTAATGTTACTTTTTTCATACATCTTAGAGTGTTAATTAGTTGTACAACTAATTTGGTGTGTAATAAGAACAATTTGAAACATTTGAGTTATTATCCCTAGCATCCAATTGTCATCTCATTTCAATATTACATTACATTTGACAGCATTAATTTGCCTTCATTAAGTCTTTAAGCTCTGTTTTGGTCTCCACCACCACTTGTACCTGGCCGCACTTCCGTTTACTGAATAACAAGTCATTGCTCTAAAAGCTTTCAAAAGTACTTTAAAGATTCTCAGAGTGCACACTCACAATGGGTTATCCCCAGAGATCCATTACAAGTTTAAATGGTTTTTTAAGTGACACCCAAATGTATGTATAGAGAGCTGTTAGGCTGGCAAGACTCCAAAATGTCTGCACCCACAATTCCTGAGGTCGTTTTGTAAAGAGCACTGAGAAAGCACAGAGGGACCCCGACAAACGAATACACACACACACTCACACCCACACGCACACAAATGGGCGTGCACAAAAACACTACTGTCCCCATCTGTTGAAAATACACAGACATTGCCTCGGTGCAAAGGGAGTTTGAACTCTGTCCAAGTGGATTTACTTGTGTGTAATGCTGCTGGTGTCTTGGAAATTGCATTAAAAAGTGTTAATTTAAATATGTGTTGTGCAGGTTTAGATTTGAATCAGCGCTGAAACACCATTAAAAGGCTTCAGATGGTTTGGACCTAACGTTTCGGTTTAAATGAGTGTTCCCCAAGTTTCAAGTTTCAAGGCTTTTATTTATTGTCCTTTGCCATTAGCTACAGTGTAGAGATATGGCAATGAAAAACTTTGGTCAACAGTGCAACATAATAGGACATAGAACAAATAAAACAGATAGAATAGTGCAAGATAATGTACTGTACAAATGTCAAAAGTAATGTGTTAATGGTACTTTCTCTGATTATACACAGACTTCATTGTTATTTTACCTCTAAATGTTCTCTGTCTTTGAAGTTTTTGTGTCAATTTACAATTGTCTTGTTGTTGTTATATCTCTCACAGGCTCCGCCCTCTACTGGACTCTATGGGTACTCTATGAGTGTGCTCTGTCAGCCGCAGCCCAGACTTCTCCACTGTCACAACCGGGTTAAAGGAGAATGTGGGTTAGCAGCTGCTGACCAGAAAAGGGTGACCTTAGCAAACCACATTCATCTTCAATCCAGTCCCAGGAACGTGAGCTTTTAATAATATTTATTTGCTCAAGGGAAGAGAGAAACAAATGGTTATGCTTCCAGTATTATGTTTTTGTCAAGAAAATAATGAAACATTACTAATGAGCATATCTTTAATGTTGCAGAATGAACTTTGCATACTAAACAGATCTGCAAAATGTTCCCTTAGAACGTATTTCTTTTGTTTTCTGGACAAAACCCACTATTGCAATACAAGATTTTCTCCTAGCAACTAAAGCATAATTAATTTTTTTAAAACATAGTTTATTTTAAAGGTTAAAGGGAGTATCATACCACAGGGTCTTAGTTATATTGAACACGTTTAAACCATGAGACTTGACATGAACTTTGTCATTCAATCCATGTATAATCTTTCCAAAAACTTAAGGAAAGGTCTTTTGTGGCTACATGTTTCCATGGGCAGATACCTCCCCTGGGCACAGAAAGACCCCATCACTCAGTAATCATATTCGTTTTAATGTTTTCTTTTGTTTCTCTTTGTGTCTCTTTGTTTCTCTTTGTGTCTGCAAGAAGTTCAGCATCTCTTTGTGGTAGTTTTTGGTGTCTACATTGTTATTTTATGTCTTGTGGTAGTCAATTTTGGTCTCTTTGAACTTTTGTCTTGTTTTTCTTCTTTTCATAGTTGTTGCAATTCTCATTGTGTCTCTTACCAGCTGTTTTGCATCACTTTGTTGTAACTTTTGTTGTCAATGTTTTCATTTTGAGTGTCTTTTTGTAGTTGTTTTGAGTCTCTTTGTAGTCATGTTGTTGTTGTTGTTTTGTCTCTTTTAATAGTCGTTGTGAGTCTTTGTGTTTTTTTGCATCTCTTTGTAGTTGTTTTTGGGTTCAGCTCAGACAAAAGTTAATTAGTTAGTTAGTTGAATTAAAAAATGTCTTTGTGCTATTGAGCACCTTGCTTCTTATGACATAAATGTATTCATTCATAGACCTGAACCATGACAGAGAATACACATCCATGCAGCAACTGTGTTTCCTGCTAAACATATTTGACAACAAACACATGCAGTGTATACGCAGTCAAGAGAAAACGGGGTATTTCATATTTTTAGAGAGCAATTTACCTCAATTTACTTTCTTGAGTACTGTTTGAAATGAACAATTTATTCCGTCCATTTTCAATAAATACAAGTTATATTCTCACGCAGGTACGGATTGTTGAACAGGCACCAACTCTCTCATGATATCAGGAATAACATTTGATGTGTCAACTCCTGGCAGTGTAGACCTGTAGGAATTCACGTAGCAGTGTTGTTGACTAGAAGTGACAGGCTAATTTGTTTTTGAATTATTTTCAAGAAGCACAGACAGACTTCTGGACCTGAGCAGAGAAGGCTCCAGCATCACAGGAGGTACGCCTTCAAATATAAATACATGCAGGACAGGTATAAACTATGAAGTGGTCTGTGCTGTGTGGACGTGTGTGCATATGCATGCCTAAGTTTGAGTCAATTTGTGTGCTGTCCAATGTCTTTGGTCAGCTAGAATTGTCCATAAATATTTTATCTCCCATCATTCTGAATACAGTATATGTGCATGTAATATGTGTCTTGACAGGCAATGTCGGACCGAGAATTATGTAATTTTAGTGGACTATTTTCATCATCACGCTACTTCGCAAAAGTGAATTTCAGTTCAAGCGTTAAAATAGAAGACATCCTTGAATATATCGATAATTTGATGTCACTAATGATATCATTTATACATTAACTCCAAATAGCTGATGTTGACTTGATAACTCTCCTTAAATGGTTTAGCTGTTATAGTTATGTTAGATTTACACGTCTCTGAAAAGACTCCAAAGCCTTATATATCTTATTCCTCTATTCTACAGAGCTTCATGAGGTGCTTTCACACCGCAGTACTTTTCCCACAAAGGTTCATCAGCACTTAGTTCATGAGAACTCTTTAGTTCTTATGAACTATATACTATATATAAATACAACTATATACTGCCACCCGAAGTCCCCGGCCGGAAGTCCCCAGAGTTGGGGACTGGCTTCAGTAGAAGCTGTAGGGACTCCCTTCCGAGTAAATCGCCAGAACGCCGACACCTCCTCATCTCCACCGCTCCCATGTTTTCTTTTATGCTGCCATAAGTTAGTTTCTCTGCGTTTCTGCGCTGGGCTAATGATAATAATGCTAATGCGAGGATAATAAAATGGCGGCTTCACACATTTTTTGGGAGTTTTACGGGGCGAGGTTTGCATTCCTCCCAGCCAATCAGACATAGGAACCTTTTTCTCCCACGAAAGTCCCTGCTCTCTAGCAGTGACGGAAAAGGGGGTAAAAAGGTTCTCATGGACTAATTTTAGTTCCGGCTCTTTTTGGTGTGAACGCGACATTTCGGAACTATATCGGAACTAAAGTGGGAAAAGTACTGCGGTGTGAAAGTGCCTATTGAAATGTTTACCTGGGGGTGATAGACTCAATGTGCTTCA